AATAACTAGCTAGAAGTATCTAAAATAATGTCGATTGTTACATAATACTGAACAATATATGGTAAACGGCTGAAGCTAAGTGCTGTAAGTTTTCTATTAAATCTTGAGGCTTTTCTATATGCAGACTGAAGTATATGGGCCTTAAATTCTTCAACTCACACCACAACATCATCCTCATAGATATTTTTATGTTAATCACAGCGTCCACTGATTACATAAAGTCCAATATTTGTTCCAAACTTACAAAGAATGAAATCAGAAATAATTCTGATTACTTAAGATGGATTTTATCTCCCTCCACTTAACGTACCTTTTTACTTGAACTTTAAACGTCATTGTTGTGCGTTCTGAGAAAGAATATGCGGTAGTTGCTGTGAATTGTCTGTGTAATAGTAGAACTATATCACGAGCGTATTTATGTTCACTCACAGTGATGTGAGGTTTTTAAAATGCTAATGATCAACAATAGATGCATACCTGCTTAATTTCTAATTAAAATAAAAAAAATTCAAATAAACGATAGGACTCTAGAGGAGTCATCACGGCTTTGTAAGAAAGGATGTTGGTGATAGTCCATTGCGGGTGGCTGCGTGAACAGTTTGGGTCGTTTTTCTGCGTTAGTTTCTGCTGTTGATCTGCATAGTCTATTTAAATTGCACCATACTCCACTGGCAATCTTATAATGATTGAATAAAAATTTAATGAGATGTAGTGTAGTGCGCTACTCTTCGGTAATCAGATTCGGAATGAATTTTAACTAGTAATATAGGTACTTTATCCATCAATATCAACGTGATGAGTTGGCTAATTTAGCCTTTTGCAGGATAACTAATGTTTCCGTTGATAGTGACCTTGTTGGAAAGGGTAGACTTCAAAGCCGCTTAGACAATTCTCATTATCGAGTATAGTTAATCGTCAATTTTGGTTAACGTAACGACTGTTGACTCACACATGGATTCCGTATTCAGCTGCTTTATAAAAGAGAAAAAGACCGCTTAGAAATAAACAGGCAATTTTTTAAAACGCCCTACCAAATCTCTGCCAGTTTGTTGATAATACAGTGTCTTTGTTTCTTTTTAAGCAGTTTTCGATACTTGATCTTTAAATCTTAAGAATACATTTGACCGTATAAATTGCATAATTTCTCGACCTTAAGCGATGAAGACGAGAGACGTTATATGCCTATTCTTCTGTTTGGTTATCATTAGTTTTTACTTTGAAGTTAATGTTTCTAGTAATTAACTCTTATCTGCCTTTATAAACCATTTCCTTCCAACTAAAAATTATGTAATTAATCTTTGAAATTGATTTCTTTTTAATGTACCAGTATCAGTATCATCGATTTATCAGAGAGTTACGTGGAAAGAATTCATTCGTTAAACGTGCTCATTAAGCAGTGAAGCGCTTAAAAGCATTCACATACACACACTCTCTGGCAATGATTATTTGTGTTCTTTAACCTCAAAGGTTGCCTTTGTCATTTTAATTATCGTTTGGTATCCTTGCCGCATGCCAGCATCCACAAACAAAAGCAGCTGGCACATAAGATAACTAAGAATCGAACTGTGCTTCTGTGTACCAATACAAACCACAAATCGAAAGGTATTTTCCTAGGAACGTAATACATCCAAAACCATGGCCAACACCAATATAACAAAGGGCACAAGGCAAGTGCACGGATGCAAGCAAATTGTGTCAGGAGGCACATCTGGACAATTGCTGGCATAGTGAGTCGGCAGATTTTAATGGAGTGGGCGAGTGATGCTGGCAATCCTAACAGTACGCCGACTATACGAAAAACGCCGGGGATGCAATGCAAGTGCGGTGGCGCTTATCCGCTTTAAGTGTACTTAGCATACAAACACTTGAGCCCACTTGAAAGCAGCATAAGACAGAAATTAAAGGGAAAAAGCAAAAACTAAAGGAAAAAATAGAATATTTGATGAGTGCAGAACTAAATCCCAGAAGAAAAAGCAGCAGAGGATTTACGAAAATGAATCAAAAAATAGACAAATAAACGCATACAAATGCAGTTACAAGACGAAAAGGCTCAGGCAAATAAAAAGGCTCACAATGGCTGCACGTGACGCTGCAAAATGGAGAGCAAAAACAAGGATAAACAAAAGTTTCACAAATACACTTAAGCGCCCTCAGATATAAACAAGCACCCACACACTGTCACACACCGACAGACGCAGTCACGGACGCCCAATAATATTTGAACATGTAAAGTGCATTGAGTACTTAAAAAGTAGATCCGAAAATTGAACTGCAGCCCATAAATAGCAAAAGTCGAGACGGCAGCCAAATCAAGCCAAATCGTAAAATTGGAATTGCAAATTTCAAAGGACAATCCCTGCCTGCAGGAATTGGCCACTTGAAGAGCATGTAAGTGTTGCAAACAACTTGTAAATTCTGATTTCAATAAGGGATTTCAGTTTGAACATCCTTTTAATTAGAACAGACGTTTTCAAATTTTGTATCACAAATAGAATTGTCAGTTCTGAAATAAATTTTTGGAGTTTCTTAGAAAAAACTGGAAGATCGATTATTTTTTTGTAGTTTTTTTGCAATTTTTCTTAACTGAAAACTTGATTGATAAACTTGAATTGAATAAATTATTTATTTAGTTTGCTCTAATAATCTAGGACTATCGTCGACTGAGTACTCATCTTTGATCCGTACATCCTTTTATTAAAATTTTAATATAGAATGTTTATTTATAGTTATTTTACATTTTTTTATTAATAAAATATTAATTTGAATTAAAAAATTACTTACTTAATTTGACCTAACAACCTAGGAATAACATCGACTGAACACAGCTCTTTCTACTTTGAACACCCCTTCTTCCGTGCGGTTAGTGCTCACTTAATTTAATCATTCCGTTCAAAATATGGTCCTACTATCCTTTTTTTCTAACTGATACTAAATTAAATAAATATAACTGATACAAGTAACTTACTTTTAGCTTTAAACTAACTATCTTTAATATTCCACCACCTTCTCCAATCCTTATCATTCCTCATACATGGACCTTGTCGTCAAGCTTAAAGAGATTCAGCTTGTTCAATATTATTGTTTTTTATTTTGCCTGACCTTAATTGCTAAAACGAGACCTCGGTTATGGCCCTTGGTTCTAACCTTTCTAATAAACATTCCTAGGAGGTTCTTTTAGATACTTCAAACGAAATTGGTAAATTTTTAGAATTACTAAGCCAGTATTAATAGCTTTATCTTCCTCTGTAAAATCTTATATTAAAAGCTTCAGCGATTTAAATCGACTTAGACATCCACATTTATAGAACATGTCTATATGTGTAAGTAGAACTATTTCAATGTTAATTTGATGAAGTACTTATCTACGTAAAAATTTTAATATATTTCTTTGTTCTGTGCACTTTCTTGAGATTTTTAATAAAATCAATTTTTTTAAAAAAATATTCGAGTTCGTTACATTAAAGTGCGAATGTCACTTTTATTTCTTCATCATTTAAGTACACAGTGATGAGTCTGTTGCATAAAGATACTTTCCCTGTAGACCTTCCGTGGAATGTTCTAACATTCCAAGTGTATATTCGGAATCCATTTCTATGACTCTTTCCTATCTTTCATTATAGTTATTTCAGATGTCAAAGTTTAATCTGCCCTCTTTATAGCACTTCCTAAATGATAGCGTCAATAGCTTTACAATTATGAAGGCCTTTCGCCTGTTATATAAATATAGTTTTCCTGTAGGCCTTCCCTGGAATGTTTTAACAGGTGTGTATTCAGGATCCATTTAGTTGCTATGGCTGCTTCGTATCTTTCATAGACTGCTGAATTAACATGACAAGTGTTAAGTCATGCGTATACCTCATGCTTGAAGTATGAGTCCTGAAGATCAGATTCGATCTATTCTCTATTACAACAACCAGCGGGTTCCTGGTAACTATTCTAGAAAGCTAAGTGGAAGCTTACAAAAACTTGGTTTGAGCCCGACTAGAATTGCGCTAGCCTTTATCAAATTACATGCGAATAGATACATTGTTACCTTCTGTTTTCGATTTCAGGGTCTTGTGGCTCCCAACTTAATAAAATCAGTAAAATTTAATAAGCAAATTTTAAGGGGTTTTGTAAATTTTGCAGCTTTATTATTTGAAGAATTTTAAAGACAACAATAAATATATTCATAGTATAATTTACATCACTTTTAAGAATTTTTAATTACTTTTATATATAGTATATACGACATATACATATATAAGTTTACTATACATATATAATCAGTTACAATTAGAAATATAAATACATTCACAATAAATACGATTTAAACAGTTTGAAAAATTGTTATAATAAAAATATTTTCCATAAAATTTTCGATAAATACATTTAATATATATACATATACATCTATATATATATGTGTATATATAAATTTTTATATGACTTGCTATTATTAATGCTTTTTTAAAAAGTATTTAATTTAATTTACTAAGTAGCTAAAAAGAGTTTTTATTGTTTAACATATAAATTCAACACGGAATATAATTTTAAAAATTTTAACTTATTTTTAAAGATATGAAAATTTAAGATAAATTCATTAAAAAATTTATTAAATTTTTAACAATTCACATACACATACATACAATATTTTTAATATTAAATTTAAGAAAAAAATCTATAAATAAAACATTGATAAAATACATAATACATAAATTTCTGTAATATTTAATAAATAAAAAAGGGGGAAGTTAAAAAAATGTTAATTTTAAAAATTTTTTAAAGGTACAATTTACGCTGGTAATCGTAATAATTAATAATTAATCGAATTTCTTTAAGGACTTACACACAAAAATTACAAATATTATATTTTTATATATATGTATATATGCAAAATTTTATATAAATATAAATGTAAATATTATTTTTTATATTTATTATTTTGTGCGGAATTAAATAAAAAATTCTAGAAAATCTTTTAAAATTTTTTTTCAATTTCAATATATCTTATGATTTAGTTTACATATATTTAAAAACTATTTTAACTATTTTAATAAACGTAGAAAAGGAGTATTTATGCTTAGCTCGCAATCCAAATGGAGCAGAAACATTTGATATGAGTGTAGCAGTTTATAATGTGAACGCTACGACAAATTCCATTGCTTACAGTTGCGTGCTGAAAATAAAACATAGATTAACATAACATAGAATATCGAAAATAATAGAATATGAATAAAAAAACTAACCATTAGCCAATTCCAGTTTAGTGTAGAAGTAATCGAATAAATATCAGTCAGCGTCAAATGTAAGACGGCGAAGACTTGCGAGACCTTGAACGTGGTTTTGATGGACTTTTCAAGCTATGACGAGAACCACTACGCGATTTAAAACCATCACTCCATGGTTCGGATACACGACCATACCAACGTATTAAGTCCATAACTTCCAACTGGAAAAGGATATATAAACATAAGAATAATGTTTACTTAATTAGAAATCTTGATTGCTTACTTGTAAGGCTTGTGGCAATTCCTTAAACATTTCAGATTTTGTTAAAACTGAGTGTTGTGACAAAAATGAAAGACAATTTGATTTAAGTACTCCAGCCATATAATGATCCGCTATACCCAGTAAACACATTACGGAATCCTCATCGATTAGTGAATTTAGTGTGTTTTCACAAAGTTCCTGAAAACAAGCAAAACATTAATTAGTAATGAAAGAATAATAATATATAAAATGTATATAATAAATAACTTAAATCAAAAAAGATAAGTAATTATAACGATAATAACATATTGTTTGACTAATAATCTGATCATCTACATTTGTATTCAATTCTATCAACAGTACAAAACGGAAACGATCAGTCTATCATCTCAATTGTTTATCTTCTTATCATTTAATTGAAAATTCTACTAGGCTTCTGGTTAATATTTCTCGAGAAGAAAGACAACTTCCCTCTACAGAACTATATAGCAAAACTTAAGCTTGAGTATTTCTACTTATCAAAGAGTTTCTGATCGCATATTGAATCTATTCTCAATAAGTCCTTTAATTGACTTAACCATTATATGATCCAAAAGAACCATATTGAACTATATTATAAATTAACTATATTATTTACAAAACTTTTCAAAATATACAGTTGACCAAGTCTTTTTAGGAAACGTGTTGTAGGCATTGAGTTATATGTATATTTAATGGTTCGGCTTTGACATCTGCTGTCAGCAGTTTGTTTATAATCAACTTTTTAGTTTAAAAATGAATGCGTACCTTAAGATCTTCAATTGAATAACGATCAGCTAACAACATCAATTCACAAATTTGTTCAGCTCCAACAGTTTTGTCTATAGGAGCACCGTATAAATAAAGCAGCAAACGACGAAATATAACAGGCGTTGTATCAGTTATAACAATTTTTCTGCGCAAATAAGAAAAAAATTTAGTAACTACACTTTTAATTAATTTATATGTATTGCTAACCTGGTAATACTCTCTTGCATACCCGATAAGAGTGCCTTCTTAAACCATTCACATCTGTGGATAAGAAATTTATAAATAATTTTTTTTTTAGCTCTCTTCTTAAATTAAACTAAAATACCTTGTGGAAACAATAACCCGATGCGCTCTGAACGTATGCAATTGCATTGTTGCACGTTGTGCCACTGGTGTTTGCTCTAAATGTCCACGCATTTGTTGCACTTCAAGCTCCTCTTTTCCTAAAACAGTAATACCTGGTACTTGAGTGTTTGCACTATAAGTCTGGACTTCAAATTCCATATCAGATAATTGTGCAGAGTGCAGTAAACGCAAAGCATTCTTTGACAAGTTACTATGTGCTGCTATCGGTGGCTCGCAAAGATGACGTATTAAGTTTAACTACAAAAAAAGGAATATAATAAATATTTTAAAAGATTATTACTTAAACTTTTTTTTCTTCAACAGAGTTTCACTAGAGATTCCCGAGTCTTAAGTACCGAATCCTTTTATATCATTACGAACTATAGAAAATCCTACTAATACGGTGGGTTCTTTATTCTTCCAGATTAAAATTGTTATGGTACTTGCGTTTAATCGAATTAAAGATGATATGTACGCCACCTCAATTCATCCTTGACTTATTCTTACTATGGTATATCACAAATAAAATCTATTACTTTTTTAGGCAAAGACGAAGAATGTTCTTATGAATGCCTTTTGTAAATAGTGTAGTGTAACTCCAAAGAGAGGTATGGAAAACATTTTATTTGTGCATAACGAGTGGATCTAGTACACAACCGCTCATGTAGCTAAAAATTTTGTTTAGGTTAAGTGATATGATATGATTTCTGATATATACTAGAGATGAAAAGTTAGTCATAATCTTCTTCTGACGTTTTAAGTGGTTAGTAATACGAATCTTAAATCAAATTGAATATTTATATGCATGAAAAATAGTAGATTCGTTTACTAATGTGTTACTAAAATCATGAGTGCCTTATTAAAATTTTCATAGCAGAAACACTATATGATATAGTATAATTTCATGATAACTAGCCCAACTATATGATTAATTGAGAATTTTTACCTTAACATTTCTATAATCATAAGCTGTTGGTTTGCGTTGTATTGTCACATCATCTACATTCATTTCCAGACTGCTTTCATAGCCCGCTAGTTTTAATTCATTTTGCAGAATATTTGATGGTTCCAATAGTCCCAATTCCAAAAGTGACTGTGTAAATTCTTGTTTCTTAACAATTCGACAAACCTATTTAAAGTATTAATTAAGGAAAATTAAAACAATTAAAAACTAATGACTACTTTATCAACTTACTTCATTGATAGGATCTTTAAGCGCGGATTTATGGTCGAATAACTTGACTATAACTCCATTCTATAAAATAAAATCATATGTAAATTTTGTTATATATAACTTTATATGATAAAAACATTATTTATTTAAATAACACAAACACAAACTTAATATATAATACTTATTAGGGTTATTACTAAATAAGAATATATTGATATTATACCAGTAACACAGATACTAGATCAATATAATTAACTTCATTTAAAAAATACAGTGCTTGTCTTAAGCAAAACTTACTATTTGACTAGTTGCCAATTTAAAGCAAAATTTAAATTCTTTCCAACCCAATTTTTCATCTAAGCGGTCCGACAGATTTTCCACAATTAATATATAAGCCGGTAGATCTACAATTAATTGTTCTAGATTTTGATTAATGGTGCTACATTTACTTAAGTAATCCATTTCACAGTAAATTATTCTGTCACAAAAGGAAAAAAATTGAAATTCAAATAAATTCTCTAAATATAATATTCATATTGGAACATACTTTTTATCTCTAATAATATCTAAAGCCGCAGATATTCTGCCATAAATGTCACGCATCTTTCGCACTTCGTACATGTACAGCACAAATTTGAGATCATTTTCTGCAGACATTAGGCGCTGCTTCTCCGTTGGATTATCGTAAAGCGCAAGACACACTGGTGGACCACGCCTGGGACGTGGTGACAATGGTGGCTGACTAAACAAATTCGTGACACTATTCTCATCTAAAGTACTACTGGCGGTTATAAATGTATTATTTTGTATTTGCATAGCTACGACTTCATCCGTTTTTTGCTTTTTCGATAAATCTAAATGTGAGCATTTTAAGTCCTTAAAACAGAATAGTGAAGAAGCCAAACAGAATTATGAGATAGACCTATCTAACATATTGTATATAAAATTCGTAGTTTACTTACTTTGCACATTTTTTCAAGAGAGTTTTTGATTTCCTCTATCACATTAGTTAAACTTAATAATGTGGTTTCAATCTAAAAAATATATATATTATTAAGGATAAGTGTTAAGCTTTAATTAGAACTTCTTTTTACTTACTTCAGGTACTAAATAGTTGACTAAATCCGCTTTTTCCTCAGCAGTTAAACTAATAAAAACATTTAAAATATTTCTAAGTAATTGCTGAACTTGAGACATAAAAATAGGTATACGTGTGCGTATATATTTAATAATCTCATTCTTCTGATATCTGGATATATCAGCGGCATCCTTTATGAATATATTGCAAAACTGCAAAACTTTGGCACATCCTGGAAGAGTTAAACAAATCAGATTTTAGCAGATTTGTACTTAAATAATTTTGCTTACCAATTGCACATTCTCTTAAACAATCCTGAAAGGTCGCATATAACGTGGCGGGTTCATTTGATATGGTGACGGGATTAATTGTTTGTATAATGCGATTTAAAATACCATGCAAGTCCATTATAATATTAATAACAACTGTAATAAAAACATTTATTATCCAAACATTTACATCACCCTGTATAACTAGTATTACTCACATTTCTTGAGCCTTATCAATTTGAGATATTTCCTTGTGGGTTCTACCATTTTTGTTAGCGAAGGTTGAGTTTCAGCAAAATTGATTAATTTCTCGCAAACATCCTCATCCATCTCTGGCAACAATGATTCGGTATAAAGCCAGTGTAAAATTGGCGTGAGTAGAAAAGAAGGTAAATTATAAAGCACACCAACTGGTGTAAGTGGTGATGAAGGCGGTGTATCCATTGAACTTGGAAATGGTGAAGGGCTACGTGCCCGGTATGGTGATAAAGGTGGTCGTCTAGTATTGCAGACTGTAGTGGTTTCTTGCGGTTGCAGCATGAAGTCGTGGTTGAAATTGAAAATGTTTTTGGAATGCGCTTGTGTCTCCAAGTGTGAATCAGAGTGGGAAGTTTGATTGAATCGTCTCATACCTGTACCAGTTTCATGACCAAATAATGTTGTGCTGCCAGTACTATTGTACATGTAATTTGTGCTTAGACAATTGAAGGAGTTTGAAAGGGTAGAACCACGATGTGCGCTTAAGCCACTAACTGCAGTTATATTGAGACCAGGGTATTCGGTTGGCGGTTGCAAATAGATTGGTGATAGATTTAGTCGAGGTAATGATTTTTGATTTTCTTCAGAGGCTGCACCAACTGTTGTTGGCATCGGTATTGTTACGGATATTTTAATTGGATTCGATGTTGTGGAACCACTTGTGCTTTCCTTATATTTCTGTTCTATATTGTGTGTTGGCATAAGTTGCTCCTGCGTTTGTTGTCTTTGCAATGTTTCATGCTGTTTGCAAGTAGTTTGTATTATGCTCGCATTTGATAGGACACACATACTGCAATCGAAGCCATTGAGCCGCAACACAGCGGAGTGTACGTGATACTGTGAAGAGAAAAATGGATGTTAAAAAAAAAACTAGACACTAACAATTTTATATTAACTATTATACAAATCATAATTATATAGAACTATATAAGTAATATCAAGTCGATGTAGGTAGATTGCAGTGGCGGCCTTGTTTCCAAAAAACTCACTTGAGCTCATATAATGGCATATTATGGAACCATTGTGCCGAGAAAAATTAACGACTCCCCCATTAGGTAAAGGAAAACCAACCTGACAGTTCTATAAATTTGGCCCTAATATTACAGGATAACAGTTCGGTCAGGTCGATAATAAAAGAGGCTTCGAAGATTTTTAATCTTCTCCTAACTAAAGAAGGGCACTAACACATGAGATGGAGCACGGTCTCCTCCTCATTCTCATAGCCACAGCCGCGACAAAAATCATTATGGGGTAGACCCAGTATCACAGCATGTCTTCCCATATCGCAGTGACAGGTCACCACAGCTGCCGTTGTGCTGAGCAGGTTCCGCCTTAGTTGAAGTAGCTGACTAGTGCGTTTTTTAATCAAGTTAGACTAAATCAACCTTGATGTCTGCCAATGCTGTTCATTGATGCTTGGCTATGCTCAGGTATTTTGTTTTATTGCCATTTTAACTGTAGCAAGTGAAACGCCTATTTCTAAGAAGTAAATGTCAGGGAGAAGAGCGTCTGACTTGGGAAGCTGCAGTTGCGCGAGATGTCCCTATGTTCCGGAACCTATATGAGTTGGATCACGACACGTCTAGCTATGTCATTGAGGGAAGCTCGACAATTTTGAATAATATTTGATGTGGCTAAAATGCTTATGGTTGATTTAATGACAGCTTGGCTATCCGAGAAAATTGAAATAGAACCATCAGGTATTTGATTGCCTAGAACCCATTGTACTACGTAATGGATGGCGATTACTTTTGCCTGAAAAACACTGCAGCGGTTTGGCAGTCGGAGGAAGCAGTTGAGATCTAATTTTCTAGAGAATATGTATACATTAAGTTCGAATTCATTTAATATGAAGATATTAAAAGTTGTCTTCTTAAAACATAACATTATATGTTAAAATAAAAATCTAAAACAAAATAATATTTTATGTAAATTGTTTTTAAATTCATTTAGTTTTGATTATAAAATAATAACAAAAAACAGTAAGCCCCCCTATAACGCGGTAGATTGGTTCCGCGTTATAGGAAAACCTGTTATAGGGATATTCCCGTATACCCCATATACACACGTGCAAAGGTATGCGAAGCCATTTATGAACTGTACAAATTCCCACGTTATATGGGAGTATGCATTGAAATCGCGTAATATGAAAACTCGTTATAGGGGGGATTACTGTATTGAATAAAAATTATAGAAATAAAAACCTTTTTAATGAATGCAATAAAAACATAAAGCGTTCCTTGAAAACTCAATTTAAATCTATAAAAAATTAAAATAAATTAAGAAAAAATTTAAAGGAAATAAATTTAATAATTTTTAATTAATTGCTTACTTCCAAATTATTTGAGCTTTTTATGACCACATCACTGAAATATGTTTCACTTAAAGCTTCAGCAAATGAAAATTCCTTTTCCTGACCAGCTGCTTGACTCTCCTTCAGACGCTTACACTCCAAAGCATACCAATTCTCACAATCCAAAACTAAGATATCAGTCGGTGTTAAGGTATTTGTCTAAGAAAACATAATCCAAGCAATTATTTTAAGCTTAAAGGGCATTACTTCAAGCGCTTACTCTAAATTCTATGCTATGCCCAGCAAATGCTCCGAATACTAAACGTGGATTGGTATCGTTAACATCGTATGTCTCACAACTAAATAAGACACTAGCTGAATCGCAGCAGGTGCCACAGTCTTTTGATTCAGGAAGGGGACTAACCAAGTCATTGTACCAAGTTATATCGCTCGTATCATCCAAACGAAATTTTATACTATAACATATCAAAAAAAAAAAGAGGAATTTAATATTTTCTTAAAGTAAAATCTTACACTTGACACTTACCCCTCTAATCCAGAAATTTCTGTTTTGCCCTCAAAAGTGCACGACACAATCTTGAGTAAGAAGAAGAGAAGATAACAATTTTTTAATAAAAGATTGAATGAAATATTTATAAATAAAATATTACTTACCTCCCAAGTGCCTATGAAGTTGTGCTCCACTGCCATTTTTCCAGCACGCCAACGTGGGTAGCGCGGTTTGTCAGCGGGTGGGGCTGCTGCTCTAACTACATGAAAAAAACGCTTTGGCTGGTGGTGGGTTTTGGGTGCTTAAAATTTTATGAATCCTACAGATTTTTGCTCTACTGCCGCGTGAAAATTCCCTATTATGCATTGCACACACTTATTTTGTTTAAATAAATAAAATATTTGCATATTTAACTATGCATTTTTTCTACAAAATATTGCTTTCAATTTTCCCCCCCGTTCGCGTGTGTGTGAGTGTGTTTGCTTGTGTATATGTGTGTGTGAAATATTAAATTTTCAACTGCTCCATTGTCCTTTTATTTAATGCCAATTCGGTTGCAATATTCATTAAATTCGTTCACTATTTTTAATTTATTTATGAAAGCACTTCGTTTTCTTTATATTTAATTAATAATTTAATGCTTTTATTTACTTTCACCTATGGCATTTTAATTTTCAAAGGCTCAGCCACAAATTTCATGACTAAAAGTAAAATTTTTCACTGCAACAAAAAGGAAGGAAAGTATCGCCAAGGATGGAGAGAATTGAGAGAAGAGGCAAATGTCAGACATAAGCAATGCGAGTACGCGGAACTCAACTGCTGCTGCTCAGCTGTTAAAGCAACAACGGCGAAAGGAGGAATAATAATAGAAATAATAAATTAACTTTTGGCGCGAAATCAGTGAACATATGAAAACGGTCAGCTGATTTGATAGCAACTGGTTAAGTTATTTTGCAATTATTTGCATTTTTTATGCATATAGAAAAAAATTTACTTGATTAAAATAAAGTTAAAACTTTATAAAATTTAATTATTTTAATATACTGATCAAAAAAAGTATATTTTTCCTTTAAGTTTTTTAATTTAAAGGAACTGTTTTTGCCCATATTTGTAAAGAAGATGACAATTTACCGATAAATGAATTTGCTTGCAATGTGCGCCAAAAAGTATGCAATGTATTTTAATTGAAGTTACTTACATTAAAAAATCATGTAAGCTGATAAGAAACTGTCGGTCTTAATAATAATGCTTCAGAAACTCTAGAAAAACTCAAATAAAATTTTGACTAAAGCAATGTGCGAGGTCGAGTAAATTGAGATAAAATAAATTGAAGTTTCCTAGGGATTTTTTGCACTGCACTTTTGTAAATATTTATTTATTTATTGCAATTATTTATTATTTTTAGTTAAAAGTTTTCAAATTTATTTATTTATTTATAAACATCTTATAACATATAAACATCTTTTCACAATGGTAACACCTAATTAACCTAATTTTTATCTAATTTACCATACTCGAAATTCTGGTTAATACCAACATTCGCTGCCATATCGACATAATTTATTATTTCCCCCAATTTACCATCAAAACTCGAACTTGCACACGGCCATAAAAATAACATAATAACTATGAGTG